ACATAGTGAGATATGTTGTATAAAATCAAAGATCGAGATTGAACACACCTTTGCACCCGCTCAGAGTTAATGGCGTTAGGTTAAAATTAATAGTTTGGTCACTTTTACACCCACTCATGGAACATTATAAGTATTTATGTCTTTTTTCTCACTTTAGGATATTAGGTGCTATTAACTAACCATTATATGAGTATTTTTGTCCTTTTATCTATTATAAAAATTATAAATATTTTAAATTTAAATTCATAAATTTTTAGGTGTGCCAAAAGTGAGTTCGACTTAAATTTAAATTTCCATTAATCAAAATGCAAGATAATATTTTTCCTTTGGTCCTCACAAATACACTTTTACATAATTACTTTAAAATTTAAAAAAATTCCAATATTATTTTTACTTTATTTCTATCAATAACCACACACACACACGTATTGGTCTGTAAATAGCAACACAGAAAGGAATATACCCAAAATAGCGAGTGGGCTTTAGTAAGACTAAAGACAACGGCACCGTCTCAAACCTACCTCAATATATTTCTTGCACGGTCATCGTTCCCGGGACGGGGTTCTCGTGTATTCTTGGATTATACAATTGGAGACGCCGTCGTTTTGGCGCCGGTGCCTCCTCCCCGCTTGATCCACCATGGCTGAGAAAATGAAGCGGCGCTGCCGCTTTTCCCTCCCCGTGAGCGTCGTTCTTTTGACTATCGCCTACATTTACCTTTCCACAATCTTCGTTTTCATTGACATGTGGTTCGGCCTCTCTTCTTCGCCGGGAATAATGAACGCCATCGTCTTCACGGCGTTAGCTATCATGTGCGTCTTTAATTATGCTACCTCTATATTAACAGATCCAGGTCGAGTCCCCTCCACATACATGCCCGATATTGAAGACGTTGAAACCCCTATTCACGAGATCAAGCGGAAGGTACAGAGTATGTGTTGTTTTAAATATCATTTCTTCGGAATAAGACGCTATATCTTTCTGGGGTGGTTTATTTTTTTCCTCGTTCGGAAACGAATTTGCTTCTTTAAGAAGAACCACCCAGGTCTGGTCTTGGCATCCTGTTAATGCCTATAGCATTTTATTTTAGTTTTATTTTTTTTAATTTTTTATTTGTTTGGCTGACTTTCCTGATAGTTTATGTTTCTTCGAGTTCTGCTTCTTGGATGCTGGAAGTCTCCTTGACGAAGAACATTAGTTGGATTTCATGTTTTTTTGTCAATCTTTATGTCATAATGAAGAACATTAGTTGCATTTCATTACTTCTGATTTCCTAATTTCTTATCTTATTTGAACTTTAACAATGGGCCTCATATCACATCTAATAACTGGATGAATAGATCAGAAATGTTTAGCTGCTAAGTGCTTTGGCTAAAGAATTTACCTTTGGCATGCTAGCCAACCACTGTTCGGAAAGAGGTACTTCCACAATCGCTGCATTTAGGATAATGGGTAAATCAAGATTGTTTTTGGTTTAATCCTCTAGTCTAAGAACTAAGATGGGCCAACAATCGTGATCATGTTTCTATACAAGTAAATAAATAAATAAATAAATAAATAATCATGATCATGTATTAATTGATGTCACTTTCCCCTTGTAGAACTATAATGAACAGCCATTTTGTTGGCCTGAATAATTGATCTTCTGAAACAAGGACTTTTATGTTGGAGGTGGAACTATTTCAGTATCATTGGCTTGGCTAGGGCATAATAATTAATCTTCTGAATAAATAATGAGCTTTAAGGTGGGTCTGTGGAAGTGAAATCATTTCACTATTTTTTGTTTGCTAGGGATCTAACACTGTTGTTAACTATTAACTCAGATTTCCACACAGAGCAAGCGTTTTGTTTTGAAAATAAGTGAATAAATCATGGTAACGCCTCAAGATAAGGATTCCTGATGAACGTTGATTTGACAATATCATTAGGAAATGTGCATGCTTTGATGGAACTTGCTGTACCGAACCTTTTAGGTCTTACTTAACTGGTTGTTATGATTGAAGTTCAGCTGTTTTAGCCCTTTGCTTGAAAATGAACATGAGTATATTAGCATTAAACAATTAGTTGTCAACTAACCAAAAAGAATAGAATGGATAGATTTTGTGTATCTATCAATCTACATGCATTATTATTTTGATTCTCCTGCCTCAGTTTAAACCTTCCAGGGCCATTGGTCTCCAGCCCATGTTATTTAGGGGATACTTCTTAAGTTTGCATTAATGATTTACCCTGTACGTGCATCTTGCTATCTTGCCATCTTGCCATCTTGATCCCGTTTCCTCTCCCATCACTAGTCAAAGGAGGGAAAAAGGTTCTATTAGAGCCATGAAGTTTGTGGCTTTGTTAGTATTAAATACTGATTAAATCCTTTTAAAATGTTTTGAGGCTGGCACGGTTGTCAATAGTGCACTATAATGCCAATCACATAGATGTACAGCACCTGTGGCATTGCGCTTTTTGAATACCTATGAACTGCACGAGACATGTGGATCTCCTTCAGTCAAGTGCTGTAGTGAAAATAATCCAATTAACTAGGGATGACTGAAACTTTTTCCCTGAGCCTTCAATTAAGTGCTATAAGCTGGTGGTTGTATGATCATTTTTAGCAGTACGGAATATGAATTTTACCATTTTTGTAATGTTTCTTTGAATTACAGCAGGGTGGGGATTTGAGGTATTGCCAAAAGTGTTCTCATTATAAGCCTCCTCGTGCTCATCATTGCCGTGTCTGCAAACGATGTGTTCTGCGCATGGTATGCATGATCTATCACAGTCAAATTTATCTTAGATTTTCTAAACAATGACAAAAGTTTTGGCATCTGATTGTTAGGATCACCATTGCATTTGGATAAACAACTGTGTAGGCCATGCGAACTATAAGGTCTTCTTCATATTTGTCATGTATGCTGTTATTACATGCGTTTACTCCTTGGTAAGTTTGATTTGTTGTCAGCTTTTTTGATATCATTGTGATCATGGGTGGGGTTAAGTTCTATTTGCATTAATCTGGGGATTCCATGCTGTTCTCTTTTGTCTTCTGCTATAATAATTTTCCATGCGCTGTTTCTGCCTATATTGACCATCCTTCTTACTTGATGTTTTAGGTCTTGCTTGTGGGTAGTCTAGCTAATGATAGTTTAAAGGAGGAAGAGCAAAACGGTGGCTCTTACAGAACTTTTTATGTAATTTCCTATAAAAATAAGATGGTTAAATTTTGTTTTGGTTGTCTAGCATCTTTGCTGATGAAATCTGATTTCCTACAGGTTGTTTCTGGGATGCTGCTGGTCCCCTTATCTGTAACCTTATCTGTGCTTTTAGGATGGCATATCTATCTTGTCCTGCATAACAAGACTACCATAGAGGTTATTAGAGAATTCTAATTTTAGTTCAAAGCTTTAATTTTACTGACGCAGCAAATAGAGATTTTCTCATGTTTGGCACTTTTGTTGACAGTATCATGATGGAATTAGAGCTTTGTGGCTTGCAGAGAAGGGGGGGAACATTTATAAACATCCATATGACCTTGGTCCATATGAGAATCTGACAACTGTAAGAACTGAATACTATGCTCCTGTTCCTTCTGTTTAGCTATAAATCCCATAGTAATTCTGCCGAGTGTGGTGACTTCTTTCTGTTGGCATAAACCGATTTGATATGAAATTTACATTTATGTGTTCCTCGGAAATTCTAAGCATGCATTAAATGTGATGACTTATATGGTTACCAAGGAAGCTGTTCCTGTTCATTTTGTTTTTGTAGATGTGATAGCATCAACATGCAGATTACGTTAAATTATGGCCCCATTGGATCATCAATTGTGCTTTATTAGCATCACTGTTCCTCTTTCATCGTTGTATAAATATCACGTTGAAGTATCAAGCACCCTGTATGCTTCGAGCTAATGCATGTCAGCCCAGTGTCACTTGTTCAGGACTTAAAAGTGAAATTATTTGGTCCTCGGTTAATTATTTAGGTTTTAATCAGGATATCTGTTAATATGAACGTGTGGATTTTAATGATATTGTACTTAATGGTTTGCCTTTGAGTTGTAACTGATGCAAGGGAACTGATATTAACATGTTGATGAATTATCCATGTTGTCTTGTGGGTATCTATCTGTACAAGGCTCTGCAGTGTCCCTCTTTCTTTGTTAGTTCAGACTAACTTGACAATGTATGTGCATACCTGGGTATGAATTTGAGTTTCTTGGTTAATTTTGTTGCAGGTTCTGGGGCCAAATATCCTCAGCTGGGTATGGCCCACAGCAAACCATATAGGTTCTGGACTTAGATTCCAGACTGCTTATGATATCTCACCAGGTGCATCAATGTCGAAATGAGTCATGGTGTTGCCTGGTTGTGGTCATTTGTAGTGCATAAACATCTAACCCTAGTTGTGAAGATCGGTCAAGTGATGACAAAACCAAGAGGTTGAGTAGTCTGCTATCACTAATCCAACAGAGAGAAGTTTTTTCCTATGTCAGTCACACCATAGTTGAAGTTTTGATGTTTTAGAGCTGTTTGGTGCATCTGTTCGTGGCCATGGAATGAATATGCATGCCTGTGGGTATTTTGATTGTCATTTCTTTCTTCCCTTGTTTCTTCTCCCTCCTCTTGGTAGGCATAACATAGGATTTTGGAAGATGTGGAGCTACAGCCATAGCGTTCTGGAGGTTGGCACTGTACAATGACAAATTCTGGAAACCAGGCTCTCCGAGACATGCCATGCAAGGATGAAGACTGGCCTTTGTGAAAAGTTGTGTGTATTCTAGAATTTGTAATTTTTCTGTATACTGAAAGAATAATCATATATTTGTATCATATATTTTCCCATCTGAAGCTGAAGTGCATTTTGCTTCTTAAGAGTTTTAGTATTAATGAGATCTTTTCGGTATCACCATAGAACACTCGCATGTAGATAGCATATAGTCGACAAAATGAGTACAAGAGATCCATATGCATGCTTACTGTGCCTTTTTCTTGAAGTATTCTTTATATTTCACCCAACATTAATTATCATTATGTTATGAAACGCATAAGGATATAAAAAATGGGTAAAACATGGTAGTCGGTAGTCCATGACGAAATAAAATTTAATTTCTTGTTGAGTGAGGGGTTTGTTTTTAATGCTTGGTTGTATTAAGATATATGTAATAAAGCTTAATTGATAAACTGTGGAAAGCTGAAAGTGCTATCATATGAACCGGGGATTAATGATGCAGCTTTTATTGGATTAGGAGGTAATGATGGCTTTCTGGTCATACAATTGAGTGTTGAGAATTTGAACCCAACGAAACGGAGTGTCGTTGAGCGTTCGTTCGCCATTCCACTTCCAGTATCCCACTCGACCGCCGTCCAATGGGAGACACTGGAACCTGTCCATCGTTTTCTGCACGCGCTACGCACACTGAGAACAGTTAGATGCCAGATGCTTTATTCTCTCTACCATTTTTCAATCCTCTCTCTCTCTCTCTCTCTCTCTCTCTCTCTCAAGCTTTTCTTCGATCTTTCTCCATGGAGATGGAAGCGGAGGACGACGACCAATCTCAGCCAAACAGGTTTGATTACTGTACAAATTTGAAACTTTTTAACTCTTTTGTGGCTTTTTGGTGACTGGTTTTTTAACAATTTTTGGCACGAAGATCCGTATGTCAGCAGTGATTTTTTTTTTTTTTTCCCAAATTCAGCTAATCCTCATGGTTCAGTATACTTCGTTGTCTGGATTTGATCGCTTTGCCATTTCATTTCAGTAAGACATCAAAGCTGTATCAATTATTAATTGATTTAGTAAAACAGCAAAGCTATTTAGTGGTTTCAATTGTAGCAGTGTTATTCATGAAGTTTACTCATTTGAGCAATTCGGTTTAAATCTCTGCAATCTCTTGCTTCCAGTTATTTGAAAAAGGAAAGAAGTGGTTCATGACCACTCTAAAATTTAGCTAGTGATCTTTTGTGCTTACTATCTTCAATTTCTTAAATATAAAAATTTGAGAAATGATATTGATTTAATTAGCTCTGGAAGGACCAAATCACTCTCATAGATAAACTTGAGGGGCGACGTTGTTTCAATTGAACTTAAAGGGACTAAAGTGATCTCCTAAGTAAATTAGAAACAGTAAACGTATTAATTAAGCTTAGAGATATTTACAGTTGTGTGTTCATATTCAAATTAGTTTAGTATTGTTTCAGCTTTTGGATTTGGAAATGGAGATGAATAGACTTCTCTGTGGCACATGATTTACATTGGACTTAAGTAATCTGGCGACAATAACTGCAGCAGATTTTGTTTCTATCTTATGATCTATTAACTTTTAGTGTTCAACCATTAATAAAGAAAATTTTAGTGGAAACAAATTTCCTTTTTCTCTTTTAGGTTTGTTGTCATAAAAAATTAGGTCCACGAAGGGTTTGTTCCAAGTCTGAATGTTCTTCCTAGCATGTTGTTAGAATTAATCAGCTATTCTGATATGTCCTATTTCTTTTCTATGGTAAATTCATTCCTAGGCATAATCATAGAAGCTTGTAATTATAGTTTAATACTTCACTTGGAGGATTGGAACCATAAAGACAGTTTTTGGAACAAACAGTAATCTTGTCGGTTGCTTTTACATTCTACTTGTAGACTTAATAGGCACTATTTTCCTTTTCAGATATATTAGTTACAATTGAATTAAACTGGGTTTTATATCCTATATATGTTCTGCAGAGAGTACTAATACTTTGGATACACCTGAACAGGCTACGACAGAAGGCATATGGAGAAAATCCTCGTTCTGCCAGGTGAAACTTCAAATATATTTGACCATTATATATGTAGCAGTGTTTTGAGTTCCATATCATGTTGTGCCGCATGTCTTTGTCTGGGTTGGTAATTCTTTTTTTTTTTTTTTGAACAAAGAGTACATAATCCAAGAAAGGATACAAAAGAAATTAGGTTACACCAATAGATCTAATCTTCTCTTCATTCCCCACCTCTTGACAATACGGTGGTGGTTGATTAAAAGCACAAAAGCTTCCTACCACATCTAAAGCGTTTTGGGCTAAAAAGTGCGCACGATAATTTGCCTCTCTGTACATGAACTTCAGCGATATAAATCTAAACTGATACAGGCAATTCCTAGGTTGTTCAATCACATCCCTAAAAGGGTGATAGGTGACATCAGATTTGGTTAGAAGGTTAACAGCTTTAGCACAATCAGTAAAAACATGGACCTTCTGAAGAATGAGTTGGCAACACATGGTAAAACCTTGAACAATACCAATAATTTTTGTAATAGCTGGTGGGTAATGACCAACATTACAAGAAAAACCAACCACCCATTTAGCACTCCCATTTTGAATCACACCCCCACGTTTGGAGATACCATCCTTAAAGGATCCATCAATATGTAGGTGCAGATCATTACCTTGCAGTCGAACCCAGTGACTGTGGGATCTCCTCGCCTGGATTGACAACGTATTTGACGCAGTGATAAGGTTCAAATCAGATTTGGCTTTGTGGAAGATAGCCTCTTTGGAGCATCCTCCTTCAGCCTCCTCTCCATCAAATAAGTATCTGCATCTAGTACACCAGATGTCCCAGCACATTTATCCAAATAACACGTTCCATGGTAGCTGCAAGGATCATGTTTCATGTCTTACAGCTTCATGTTATAGAAGTTGAAGGGTCCTACAAGGATCAACCCAAGCAAAAAAGTTATTTAGTATGACACATCTTCATGTTTCATGTCTTACAGCTAGCTGTTACTTTTCTGTGAAGGTCCTTTATGTATATTTCTGTGAAATGTGAAATTCTTCTTTAAAAATTGGTTCCTTTCGCTTCTGATATTTGTCATGCATGGTCTTCAGGTGCCATCTGGATGGAGTTCACAAAACCAACATTACTGAAGGGAATAAGAAAAGAAAATTACAGACTGATCAACTGGATTTGCCTAGATCAAAGCACAAATGTTGGGTTGGGAGATTCTCCTCTGAACATGGTTCAATGTCCGATGACAATCTAGAGCTAGGGAGCACGCACATGCCCATGTTCATGAGTGAAACGTATGCGTCAGCTCTTGATATTTCAGAAACCAAATCTTCCAAAGGCAGCAATAATTTCAGTGAAGATTCAGACGCTGCCATGTCTGTAAATGATGAACCAAAACATCAGATGGATTGTCCTAAACCATACCTGTACGGAAGGCCTTCCTATTCTTTTATTAATTGGGATGGCTATTATTTCAAGAAAAGTTGTCGTGAAGAGGACACAGTTGTTGAAAGAGAATCATCCTACGATTATGATGATGATATACAAGCTTTGGTGAATCTTGAGGAGCACTCTCTGGATTTAGGAATTTGTAGAGATCATGATTACTCAGAATATGTGAAAAAAGGCAACGAGCATTCCAGAGAAAAAGAATTTGAAGATGTTTATGCTGCTCATGGGGCAAATCCTAGCATGTATATCCTATCATCTGGAAAATGGGATGTGAACCAAGGTATGTTTTCCTCTCCGATGTGTTTAGTACTCCTTCAGATCCTAAATATAGGAACTAATTGAGAAACTTGCTTTAATTCTGAATGTAAGATTCCAACCTAGTTTGTCTCCCAGATTTATAGTTTTTTTTTTTTTTGGAGAATCACATTCAAGAACCACTCAAAAAAATTATGCACAAACAAGAACCAATATGAAATGGATTTTTTTTAAAAGGGAAACATGACTTATTTTTTCTCGAATGGGACTTGTTATTAGTCTTTATTTGAGAATAATTCATTTGAGTGGTTCTTGAATGTGATTTTCCCCCTTTTTTCCAAAACTATCCCTATTGATTGCAAAAGTTAAAGGGGTTTTTCCATCAAGGGGTAGTTTCCAATATAAATGATTAAAGGGTATTTTAGGAAAACCATCACATATTTTTTTATAAAAAACTAACTAAACTAATTTCTTCAATGTTTATAGATTAGTCATCTCTCTCCTACATTTAGGACCAGAAAAGAGTATAAAAGCCTATTTTGTTACCTAACATATTGGTATTTCATTTTTTTCCATCCTCCATAGATCATTTCTTTCAATTTAGTAGATCAATCATTAAAACAGCTTTAATGTTATCCTGACACCTTCCCTTTATCCTGGAACAAAGTGAAACCCATGAGATTAGAGATTTTTGTCATGAGTGAGCAGCATCTGTATAAGGTCCAAGTTAACAGCGCTGGGCAAGCCATAATGTGCGAGAGAACATTGAAAGTGTTTTAATGATTGAGGGACATAATTAAACAGGGATGATCAGTGGAGGGCATTATCATGCGCCTATATGTCTGGAACCAAAAAGGGGTTTCCTCTAAATTTTTTTGTTAGTACTAATTCCTGGGTTGATATTTGGTTTCAGAGGCTGAATCAAGCACAAGGCCGCCAACAATTGATCAAGAATTTGAGCAGTACTTTTCCATGCTTATGCTTTAGCAGACTAGCATAGATCACTTATCATAAAGGATGTTGATGTATAAAGCTACTAGACGCTTGGTTCAACTAATAAGGGAGTCATATTCTCTTAATTAGAAGTCTCAAGTTTGAGTTTTGGAAATGTAGCAATATTGGTGACAGTGTTTCCATATGAAAAGATCCTAACTCTTTAAAATCTTCTCAACTTGACGTAGAACAGATTCAAGATACAAGTGTACTATGCAAAACAGGAAGTACTTGTATATATATTGCTAACTTCTTTTTCTACATGAAATATCAAAATCTTATTTATTCCAAAAAAATCAAGTACAAACACCTATAGGTGAAGGCAGAGAAGTACTCAAAAGACCTACATGTTACAACAAATACGAACGTCCCATAATCATCCAACCTCTCATTCCCTATTAGCAGCTTAGACAACCAAGATCATCACTATTTCTGAATTCTCAAGCTATTTTGTATGTATGTAACTATGCATGTATTGATTCCAAGTTGTAAATATATTATTATAATGCTATATATATTGATCTTACTTTTTCTTTCCCTTTTTGCTTCATATGATATGATCTTCATACGGCAGTGTGCGGGATTTCTCTCTCTGGCTTTTCCTCTTCTGTATAATAACAGAATTAACTTGAAGTAAAAGAAAAAATAATTTCCTCATTCATTACGAAAATTCTTGGATAATTGAAGCAAAATTTAGATTGTGGGTACTTCTCATATATTATTTTGTTCACTGTGGTTTTGTACTGCCATGGTGCACGCTAATCAAGTACTAATCATTAACATTAGTAAATATTAACCGTTTTCAAGTTCCTTTAAACCCTGCATCTTATTGATCAAACATGACCAGGAATAGTGTTTTTATTTAATTTCTGCAAAATGCAAATGCTTTGTTATGAGTTTCCCCACTCTAAATGAACTCAGCTCAAGTTTTTATTTTTATTTTTATTACTATTTGTTATCATCATCTCTCGTGCCTTTAATATAGGATAACGGTAATTATTTTGTGGTTTTAAAAAATGTGTTAGTTAAAACCTTAATATTCTCTTCTGATAAACAAATGAAAAAGAAAAAACTTCATCTTCTCAATAATTTTATTTCTTTTTAATTATACCTTTGAGAGTGAGATAAATGCCTAAATTACATTAGTTGACTCCTACAAAATATCATCCTATATTTCAAATCAAATATAGGTCAGAGTCTAAGATCAAACTACAGAGTCAGACCTTGGAATAATATAATATAAATTAGGAGTGAAAAGGACTTGGATCAACTACAAGTAGACAAAGTGTATATTCTCTCTGTTTAAAAATGTAAGATATTTTTAATTAAATTTTACTGCCTAATAAAGTAATTACATACTTTCAAACTAATTTTATATTTTTATATTTATCCATATTAAACATATTATAATAAATATAAACTCATTATCAATAAGGATACTTTTGAAAAAAGGCAATAATTACACATTGAAAGACTAAAAATACCTTATATTTTTTAATATTCAATTTCTTAAAAAAATAAACTCTTATATTATTGAATGGAAGGAGTATATCTTTTTGGGAGAATTTCATTTAAGGACCTGGGAAGGAACTTATTTTCTGGTGGCTCCTAAAAGATTCCAAAATCTCAGTTTAGTCCTTGGATTAAATTAAAAATAAGTTAAATGTGAAAAAGATGAAAACACCTTGAGTTCAAATATTAAAAAAAAAAAACCACCAGCTATCATCACCGGAGCACCACAGTCGATGACTGGAGCCTCACCAGTGATGACAGCCATTGGACCTCCATCGTCGGAGCTTCAACTACCAGTGGTTGAAAAATTATGGAGAATTAATTTATTTAAAGGTGGCTAAGGTGGGTATAGAACCCAAGACCCTTTAGTTTACTAAAAAGTTTTGGACCATCAAGCCACTCAACCTATTCAATTATATAATACATAAAATTATATATATAATAAACCTTATTTTCAAACCACTTGATTATTACATTACTTATTAATTGCCTAATTTTTCTTATTAATACCTTCATAGGACTTGTTAATTACTTAACTTTTCTTGTTAACCCCATGAATCCTGCAACATAATTAAATTACTTGTTAATCTCATAATTATACTTGTTAATATTTTAACAGAACTTATCAATTACTTAACTCTCCTTCTTAAGTTTGTGACTGCCACAACAGAGCTACATTATTTGTTAATTGCATAACTATAGTTGTTGATACCTTAACGGCACTTGTTAATTACTTGAATTTACTTGTCAAATCCATGACTCCTTTAAATGAATTGCATTACTTGTTAATCATGTAACTTTATTTGGTAATTACGCAACAATACTTGTTAATTGAAAAGCTTGACTTGTTAATATTATAACAAGACCTTTTTAACTGTTGTTTCGAAAAAGTAATTAAATTACTTGTTAATTACATAACTTTACTTGTTAATTCTGCAATAATACTTGTTAATTATCTATTGTCACTTATTAAATGAATATACAATTTACATAAAAAATTAAGTTTGTCAGATAATGAAAGCGATAACAGTCGGGTCTCCATTATCAGTATTCATCAAACTAGATACTCAATTATATAAGCACATATATATATATAGAGAGAGAGAGAGAGAGAGAGAGAAATATCCTAAAAAACAAATATAACATTAACAATTAAAATTAAGTATCTAAGCATGTTGAAACATTTGCAGGCGTGATTCAAACCCGAGATCTAAGCATCTTAAGGATGTTGCTATGCTAGTTGAACCCAAGGTTCCTAGATAAATGTGTATGTATTAGGTAATCATATATTAAATCATGAACGATCCTCACTTCTTTTAATTCTAGTTAGAAAAAAAAGTTATACAATGAACTCAAAGTAAGTAGAAAATCTTAGGGGAAGTCGCATTAAGAGCCCTAAAAAATACATTATTGCACTTCGGGCTTAAAAAATTTGATATTGTACTACTAGCCTTACAGCCTTTATTGCAATTTTTCTTCACACTAAAAATACAATTTTTCCCTTAATGAAAAGAAATAAAAATGAACGAACATAGAGTAGTAGGATTGATGACAAATATGGGAAGGCTACTTAGCTAGAGGATAAGAAGGTTTCTTAGATCTAATAGCAAGGAATAACTTTTGAGGTGCGTAGATTTTAAAATTCTTTCATTCTAAGCAGTGCTTGATTGAAATTTGTCTGTTGAGCTTTGATTAAAGATGTTTTCTACCATTTTTTATGTTGAAATAGGAAAGAACTAACAATTGAACCATAAGTAGAGAGTAATGTAACGTTTTGTTAGCTTTCGGTATTTGTTGTTGTTGATTGCTTCTTGCTTAGCTATGTTTTCTTCAATGGACCATAAACAGAGAGTGATGGAATGGGCTTGTTGGATTTTTACCCCCACATAAATTAATGAGAGGATTATCTAAAATAGTTGAATTTCAGCCAAATATTTAGTTGGATGGAAAAACCTCTAGTTGGAATTTTAGTTGTGATTTTATTGCTGATATAAATTAAAGGTTGCTAAACTATTAAGTTGCTATAAAAGTTTTAGAGTGGATTAGTTGTTGTACAATAATGATGGTTGACTTGTTCATATTGAACTTTAATATGTAAATTGAATAAAATATGACCTAATATGAAGAAACTTGATGTCAGAAATATTGGAATATTTGTTGTGCAAAAATTAACTTTGAATTGTTGTTGTTAAATGTTGAGTTGTGCATTTTATTAAGTCTAGCCTAGTGATAAACTGAAATCACATGGACTTTTAATGAAAAATACATTAATCTTGTGTTATGCATAGTTGATACTGTGTTGTACATTGTGTGCCTAACTTGAGCATTTTGCTGAGCCTAACCTATTGATGAACTGAAATTGCACGGACTTTCAGTTGAAAATATATGAATCTTGTGTTGTGCATGGTGAATATTGTGTTGTGCATTGTTTGGTTAAATTGAGCATTTTATTAAACGTAGCTTACTGATAAATTGGAATCGTATAAACTTTCAGTTAAGAATATATGAACCTTATGTTGTGCATATTAGATTTTGTGTTGTACATTGTTTTCCTAACTTGAGTATTTTGGTAAGCCTAGCCTATTGATAAACTAGAATTGTATGGACTTTTAGTTGAAAATATATGAACCTTGTGTTGTGTATAGTGGATATTGTGTTATACATTGTTTGCTTATTTGTGCATTTTGTTTAGCCTAGCCTACTGATATAACAACATTGACAGATAACTTATCATAAACTTTTTTGTAACCGCCTTTAACCAACCATCCTCTTAAAAGGCCACGAACCAGGAGGATAAAGTCTTAATTTCAAAAATAAGAAGATTATCATTGTTCAAGATGTGAGAAGGTCGGACACGGTCGCATGACATGCAAAAATTCTAACCCAGTATAAGAAGTAGTCACATTGTACTTTTTTGATGTACTTAGGCAACTATAATTACATATATAGAAGCATTCTAAGTAATATTTTTTGAATAATTGAGAATTACAGATATTTTTTGTTTGTATATAGAGAAGAAACTGTTAGGTATTTGAATATAGTTGCTAATTTGTTGTGTATATTAGACTTGAAATACCATATCAAATTTTATGTGGGTACTTATTTTAGTAGTTAGGTCAGTACCAACATAAAATTATTCATATCTAATGTAATTGTTCTTCTTAATACTAGAAAGGCATGAACTTTGAGTTGAGCATATGTAAGCATTATCTTGTACATAGTAAATGTTGTGTTGTGCATGGTTTGCCTAAGTTGTCCATTTTGTTGAGCCTAAACTACTGAAATATTGAAAAGGCATAGACTTTTAATTGAGCATACGTGAGTATTATCTTGTGCATAATGGATATTGTGTTGTGCTTGGTTTCACGTAGGTTTTCTAAATTCAAATCAAATAAAGGACAACAATGTACTTTTAGTTTTAAAAAATTGTAATAAGGACCTCAAGGCCTGTAGTGCAATGTCAAAATTTTTCAAACTCAAAGTATAATTATGTGTTTCCTAGGGCTTTTAGTGCAATTTTCCTAAAATCCTAACCCTGAATCCTTTGAAAATGACCCACGTGATTTCCTTGTCTGCTTCTATCCTTAACCACACAATCTCAAACTCTATCATCATTGATATCTCGCATATCATAAGACAATATCATGTTCTATAATGTTACATTATTTTAAGATATTCATTATTAGTATGATAGTTATTTTCTTAATTTACTAAATGTTTCTATCTTTTTTACATTTAAGATAATCATGAAAGTACTTTCATGATTTTTTTTTTGACCAACAAGGTACTTTCATGATTGAATGACATAATTTAAAGGGAAAATTTACACTAAAGGCTACAAGAACAAATATATTTGCATAAGTGTCTAATAAAATTTGAAATAGTTTTGTAAGTATAAACGACTCTCTTGCAATTAAGTTTTTGATGAAAAGATAAAATTTTCCTTGGTAAAATAAATGAATCTTTTGTTAAAAATAAATAAATTTAATTGTTATTTATGAACAATATGTTGTA